TCACTGAACATCTGTGGTGGAAGTCATTCTTTCTGGACAATTGAATTAATGTGTAGTCGGAAGGGGAGTTAAAAGGGATCCTTGGAATCAACTACAAGTGTGTGTAGGGCGAAGGGTAGGTAACATAGAGAAGGGACCAGTATGACAGTAATAGCTAGAAGTTATCACCCTGGACAAGAATTGAATGTTAAAAGTAGGTTTAAGGAATATACCTGATAACCTTTCAATATCTGTATTGCAAACCACAATGTCCAAAAGGAGAGAGAGAGAGAGAGAGAGAGAGAGAGAGAGAGAGAAGAAAAGTGTCTGCCATAGAGGCAGACTGGGTGGGGGTGGGTTAGGGAGGGAAACTGAGGACACTGGTGCTGGGAAATGTACACTGGTGGAGGGATGGATGTTGAAACACTGTATGACTGGAACCTAATCATGAACAGCTTTGTGAGGGTCTATTTCACAGTAATTTAATTTAAAAAAAAATTTTTTGAAAAAAAGAAAGAGGTCCTTGGAGGAAGGAGGTGGGACACTGGTGTTGGATGTGGTGCTAGAATTATGTGCATGAGAATGAATCATTGTATGGCAAATTTTTATCTTTCTATCTAATTTTTTGTCTATCAATTTTTTTTCTTTTTGAGTCACACCCGGCGTTGCACAGGGGTTACTCCTGGCTCATGTACTCAGGAAATACTCCTGGAAGTTCTCACGGGACCATATGGGATTCTGGGAATCGAACCTGGGTCAGCCACGTGCACGGCAAACGACTTACCTGCTGTGCTATTGCTTCAGTAACTATCAATTTTTTAAGTTAATTCTTTTATAGAAAGTTCCCACGAAGGAATATAGCATTCAAGAAGCAGCAAAAAGTGAGGTAGGGTTGAAAAAAATAGTTATAACAGGCAACTGCATATGCAAGGATCCCACTGTAAAGTTCACAGATACATTGTACATGTGCTGTCTGGGATCCAGGCAGACAAGGATTTTATTGGGGGTGTGGGTGGGAGAGAGATGCGGTGCAGGCATAGCTGGAAACATCATCTTTCCTTAGCACAACATTGCTAGCTTTTAACATCAACACCATGCTCTCCTTAAACCTTTTCAGAATCACCTGTCAAATTCAGAAGAGTAGACTGGCTCCCAGTAGCAAAAGGCCTCTAGACTATTCATTGTTTGACACCAAAGTTAGAGTCTTGTTCTGCTCTTTACCTTTAAGGCTTTTGAGTCATTTATTCATTTTACTGACAATCGTTGACTTTTGATTTGGGACCTGACCTTGTAAATAGTCTTAATCTTGAGCTGGGTCTGAAATATCTCACCTGAAAAAATTCTAGATCCTCCTGTTTCTCCACCACTCTTAGAAAAATATTTTCTCTATGTTACAAACTAAATTTTGGTATTCTACTTTGGAACAATAATTTTGTCTCCTGAAAATCAGAGGGCATCTGTAGGTGTACAGATTCTCTCCCTGTTGTTTTAATCTTGGGCCATCTAATCCAGGTGAAAAACAAAAAACTCGGGCAGACCCAACACCAAATGCCTGCTGCAATTTGTAACTACTGGAAATAATGAATGGATACAGTTAAAGTTCATTTACATTTTGTGAGGGTTTTTTTGCATTTTCACACAAGAATGTCATCTGGAATTTAATTTTCATACTGTACAAACAATATCTTGACCACTTAGGACAGAGGACTGAGTGTGGGAACTCAAAGATAACTGGAGGATCATGGGGTTTCCCTATGTTTAAAAACTCCCTATGTTAGAAAACTCCAAAAACTGAAAACAACTGAAGCGTTCATCAAGAGTTAAATGAATAATAAATTGTGGTCTTTCATTCTACATAACATGAATGAAGATGAATGAAATGAATAGAAAGTAAACTTTGTAAAACTTGACATAATAAGGATGAATCATATGCAATGTGAGTTGAAAGAAGACAGACACCCACACTCAAAAAATGCATATTGAATGATTCTATTTCTGTAAAGCCCAAAAGCAGCACAACTAATCTATAATGTTAGGAGTCAGAACAAGTGATTCCTCTTGGGAGAGGTGGGTAGAGTTTGGGAGAAGACATGTGAGGTCCTGGAGTTCTATTTATGTCCTAGCTCTTCCCTGGCTGCAACATGAGCATATTACCTTTATGATCATTCATTGAAAAATGCTTAGACTTTTCGCATGTTGTATGTGTGACATCCTCTAAAGAAATTCAGTCTTGGTTTAGGGGTGGTTTGTCCCTAAGAACTGAGTCTGCAAGATTAGACATGTCCTCAGGATCCCTTCCTGACTGGCCAATGTACTCTAGAGTCAGCAGAGCAGAGACAAAAATCTGAGTGTAGGGAGCTGGAGTGATAGCATAGTCTTGCACGCAAAAGATCCAGATTCAATCCCCGGCACCATGTATGGTCCCCCAAGTCCTTCAGGAGTGATCCCTGAACACTGCCAAGTGTGGTCCAAAAAAACAAAGAGAAAATCTGAGTGTAGGTAACATTGAGAGAACAGTGACATAGGAGGCACAACAGAATGTGGACTGCACTTACTTTGGGGAATCACCTGATTCCACAAAATGTTCAATGGCATCTGGGATTAGCTCTGGACCAGAGTGTGCAGATGGTGTCCATCAAGCATGGAGGGCTCAGCACCATTAATTTTTTAGTGATTTGTTTGATTTCTCCCTTTCCTTTCCCATGCTGTTGTTGTTGTGATGACCAGTGTTTGCACATACTTGGTTGCAAAGTACCAAAGAACACACACTGGGCTTTGCTGCTGGGGATCCCAAGCATCATTTCTGTTGGGATTGCACTTGGGCATGTGAGATAGTGCCAACAACTAAACTCTCAGCCTGGATTTCTGGGCAAGTACTCAAGCACCGAGCCCCATGCCCTGAAGTCCGTCTCATCCTTCTGAACTCTAGGGAGGTATCCTGCCTCCTTACATTTGAACTGCCACCCAACTGGGAAGAAGGGCATCAGCCCAATCTTCTCTCTGGAACTGTGGCCCTAATCTTCCCTCTCAGGGGGAGTGACTCCTGTTTCTCAGAAGAGCAGACAGCAGCACACTGCCTCTTTCTTGAGACTCTGTGAAGTGACTTGGCTTAGTAGGAGGGGGTGAGGAAGAGAAGATTTTAGGAAGCCAGCTTGAACAGCATCAATGCAGGAGTGATGAGCAAGAGGGCGTTCAATCCACAGTGGAGGCAGACCACTGGGGGAAGACATGTTTGAATAAGATGGGATGGAGAGGCCAGAGAATTGTTAGAACTGGGAGAGTCTTGGAGAATTCATGGTATCACGGTATCATGGTCATCCTGTTGTTCATCAATTTCATCAAGCAGGCACCAGTAACAACTCCTTCGCCCTAGTCCTGAGATTTTAGAAAGTGTCATATTCAAGGCTCTTTCAGGGTCAGGATGAGACCCATCATTGTTACTGGTTTTTGGCATATTGAGTATGCCATGGGGAGTTTGCCAGACTCTGCCATGCGGGCAGAACACTTTTAGTAGCCTGCCAGCTTCTGCAGAGTAAGAAGTAGATAAGGAGATATTTATTGCAAGACCACAAATGCAGCTGCGCACTTCCGGGAACTGGGTTTTATAGTCTCTGGGTCTTGGCCGTTGATGGGATTACCTGGCACCCGGCAGTTGGCAGGTGCACACCTTCCTACTGGAAGATGGGGGATCTGGGTGGAGGAGGCCCAGTTCCAATCCAAGCAGGCTTGGAGATCTCAGCCCCAGGACCCGCATGCCTGGGTTCCTCTGCCGGTTCCTTCATGCATGAGGCTTGTCCGAACGTGTGGAGAGTGGTCTCAGCATGGCTGTGGCTGGTTCCAGAAGTCTTTGGCTGCCGGGGCTCTGCTCGGGGTGGGGAGGGAAACTCAACCCGCCCCCCTCCAAGGGGCCCTGGTGAGGACAGTCAGGCATGAGGGCAGGAGACTCTGCGCTGCTCTTTTTCAGGAGCTGGGTTTTATAGTCTCTGGATCTTGGCCGATGATGGGAATACCTGGAGCTGGGGGCCATTGGAGGATTCAGAAAGGATAAAGTCATTTGCTCATGGTGACCCTGGGGTAGAGGCTGCTGACTTGCTCGGGTCCTGCCTGTTAGTTCCAAGTCATGCATTTTCAAACCACAGTCACACCCAGGGAGCTAGTGAAGAAGGAAGCCAAGAAAATTGTCCTGGGACTTACAGCATGTGGTTGTCTTTTTCCTACTTGGATTCCAAATGTTCAGAGCCATTTGCCACTATCATTCATCACTAAAAACAAAAGCTGTAGACCATCTTGTATGTTTCAGCCCCATTTGGAATGACTAAGAGGAACTCTTGGTGGGGATCTTGCATTCAATGGAATAGACTGAGGGGGATTAAAAAAAAGAAGAAGAAACTAAATCTAGGGGCCCATGGTGATAGTAGAGCAGGTAGGGCACTTGCACATGACTGGTACAGGATTCAGCCCTCTGCATCCCATATTGGTCTCTCAAGCCAGCCAGCACAGAGCCAGAAGTAAGTCCTGAGCACCTCTAGGTATGATTAAAACACACAGACACACACACACACACACACACACACACACACACACTAAATTTAACCTCAGCCATAGCCTACAGTCAGTAGATAGCTGGGGTGGGGAAGGTGGTGCCTTGTGGGGTGGGGCCAACCACAAACCACAGTGAATTGTTTAATTTTCCTCTTAGCTCACCTGGCATGAATTGTATTCTCTCTCTCTGTCTCTCTCTCTCTGTCTCTCTCTCTCTCTCCCTCTCTCTCTTTCCCCCTCTCTGTTTTCTTACTCCACAGTGTTTTCCCTGCTGGGGCACAGGACGGGGATGAGTTAGGAAATCATGAAAAGTCAGACAGGAAGGACACCAATTAGAGTATGTTCACTTTCAAACCATCAGAAAGGCTGTGTGGCTAATAACCAGATTTGGGACATCACCAGAAATCCCAGAGGAACTTATTTCTTTCTAGTGCATGAAATACTTCCTGAAAGCAATCTTATCAGAAAACTTTATTTAGGAAAGTTTCTTTCAGCCTGGCTCAGCGCACCAGAAAGAATAAGTTATGACGGTATCTGTTCCTGCCTGCCCGCCCTCGCCCTGGTTCCCATTCCAAGCGTTTCTTTTGCAAAACACGCGGAGCCCTGATTTGACAGAGCTGGAGAGCATCTGACCTTACTCATCAGGTATGATTTATTTTGGATGCAATGTCCAGAACAGGGAAATCTCTGAAAAAGATTTTTAGAACTTCCTCAGCCAGTTTACAAAATCTGACCCTCCAACCAGATCTCCAGGACCAAGGACTCTTTGAGGCTCCACAGACCTAATGAAGTTCGGTCCACAGGAGCAGTGAAATCCTCAGCATCAGCTGGCTGGCCACTGAGGGCACCCCGAGCTCTAGCATTTTAGTTTCCACTACTTGATGTGGTGCTCACTCTCCACTGCTATCATCTCCACTGCCTCTCTCGCGAAAGAGTAACCATCACACCAATAATAATTTTATCTTGAACTTTCCGCAATTGTGATGTCTTATTCTGTGTTCTCAGGGAGGAATAGTCTAGTGGGTAAGGCTTTAGCCTTCAAGAAGTTGACCCAGGTTTGATTTCCCGTTATCCCAGAGGGTCACCTAAGCCCTGCCAGGTCTGATCCTTGAGCTCAGAGCTAAGAGTAAGCCCTGAGCACATCTGGGTATGACCCAAAAAATATCAGATGTCCTCAGGTTTGCCAGATTTCTCTCTCCCAATGGTATGTGATTAACAATTTACCAACCCTCTATGTATTTCCATTTTTTCATCTGTTCAAAGGGAATGCTAGTAGCCTATAGTACTTGCAGTGAGGGCTTTATGGAATTTGAGTTACTATAGTTTCTTAACATAGTGCTTGGCCCAGAATAAGTGTTCCATACTGATGTTAACCATTTCAACAACTTGATTTGAATTATATGATTCTGAGGATTACATAGAGCAGGCAGTTAAGAATAAGCTACCCCAGGATATTGGGACTAAAATTGAGGTAGAGGAGATAATTTCTTAGAAAACTGACTAGAGGTTTCTCAAGAATAACACATAGTTTCACTGGAGATGTAATTGTTGCAGGATCCCTAATATGAGTCACTTATGGTACCAGTTGCTCCAAACCTACATGATCACAAAGATTTCAGTTTCCAGATATCTCTCAAGAGAATCATAGCAGGTGAATCAAGGTTTCCACAAATTGTCTCTTATGTAGTTTTGACAGAATGATGGGGACCTACCCCTGGCCAGAAGGAATGAGCAGAGGCTGGTCTTTTCAGGCTCAAGGCAGATAGCCTTGCCCCTGACTGTCCTATCCTTGAATTTTTTCAGAAAATCACATAAAATTTAAATTAAATATACAACATGTGTTTTCAAGAATTTACACTTAGTCCATCAAATCTATTGTCCTCAGAGTTGTTTGGAGTACAAGACTAATGAGCTTTCACAAATGTCATTAAAAAATCTTTTATCTAAAATTTTTTAAAAAGCACATTTGGAGGCTTTGAACATTGTTCCAAGAGTCAAAATAATAATATTAATAATAAATTTCCCCAAACACTCAACCCCTGCAGGTTCAAAATGTACTTAATACTTTGAACCCAAGGGATTTTAGTTATTACTGGAGTTTGTCATCTCGTTTATGAACTTTTCCAAAGAAGAGAAGGACATGATGTGAAAGCGTACTAGAGGTCACTCGCATTTATGGTTTGGGGAATTGCCCATAGCCCAGAAGATTTCCAGAACCTTCTTTGCCTGAATCCCTAGAGGAAAGCCCTAACTTGACAGCATCGGCAAAGCCAGGTGTAGTCATACTGACTATTCCAGTTGGCCTTGTTTTGGCTGGTGGATCAAAGTCCCTTTAAAATAGGGCTTCTGTCCGTGCACAATTTGTTTCTCCTAACATGGGTGATATATTGGTAAGTGACTATGTGGTGGCAAGAAAACAATTTCCCTTGGATGTGTGCAAAACAGCCGATTGCCTTGAGGCTGCCCCGAACGTTGTCATCTGATGACCTCTGGTGGTGGAATTTTTCCCAGCCTCTATGCAGCAATGCTTCTGAGCCAAACCATCCAACCATGTTACATTTTCCTACATTCCTTTCCTCCTGTTTTGTCATTCACATTAAGCAAGGAGCAAGAATCAGTTGCAAACACCCAAAACAAAGTGCTGTGTGTTTCTGATTACATTGCCATTTCTTAGATTTGCCTGGTGCCTTCTCTTTCAGTGACCCTCAAGTACATTTCCTGTAGAAAGAGGAAGGGAGTCGACATGAAGGAAAATGTGGCCTCCACCACTGCTTTCATCTTGCTGCTTTTTCTCAACATCAGTCTTCTGAATGGTAAGTAAGGGCTCCTGCGCTCTTTCATTCCCTAAGTTTAGGAAGAGGGTGGAGAGGCCATCAGTTTTCTCTTTGCAGTGCCATTATAAGAAAGGAAGAACCGGTGTCACTTGCTGCTGTGAATGTTGCAGTATTGGGGGCATTAAAATAATCCAGGCAATAACTGCCTAATCTTGTCACTGTGTTCTGACTTCTCTCCTCACTGTAGCTTGCAGGGAAACAGCTCTGTCAGATAAGAGTAGAGTGTTAGTACAGATTCTTCCAGGATCTAGCTGTGTGACCTAGTCAGTTACCTAATCACTCTGGGCTTCCACATTTTCAAAGTGAAGATAGTGATGTATCTTCCACCTCAAATGAAATAATGCATGTGAAATTTTTTAGAAAAACCATAAAGAGATATGAGGGATTGGTACTACGTGGTAGAAAACAGGTCCAGCCAAAACTCTATGATTATGTGTGCTAATAAGGGAAATGAGGATCACAGCTAAACTAGTGTACAAACCTGGAGTGAAAATTTGTTTTTTATCTCTGTATATTTCTGGGTGTGTATACTGTTGTAGTGCCTGTACATATCATTAACTTCTCTGTATGTACCTGGTTAAAAATGCTTGTCAGTGTATACAGCATAAGTCTATGCCTATGTGTATACTTCAATGTGTGTTTCTCGTGTGTACTGATGTGTTTCCTGAAATGTGCACCTGTACATATATTTGTGTATACCTGACATGAAGTCTATATGGGAATATAAATGTACCTGTGTCCATGGTATTTATACAGGTGTGTTTGTATATATTTTAAGGGGTTAGCAAAATAGTTCATTAATTTCAACTGTCTTCTCTACAGAGGGTGGTAAGACAGGAACATTGGATGGCTGCTTATAATTTCACAACTTTACTTCTCTCTTGCATTTCCTAAAGGTACAGTTAATAACCAGTGAGATATGAAAGAGCTAACTTTCGTAGAGATAATAAGAACAGAAGCCAGTACAATCACCCAGGAAATTTTTAGTCCTTTAATAAAGAAAATTGCTCTAATTGGCAATTTCTGAGTATGCTCATTATTGAGCTATAGGACTGAAGGGTGGGGGCAGGGTTTTCTTTTTTAAATAAGATTTTATTTTTACCTCACGCATTCCTCCCCTGGCGTAATAAAAAAAAAAGACAGTTGAAAATAACTTGGCAGTTTTTTCCCTGAAGGAGAAGCAAAGTTACAAACACTGGCAGAGAGAAGAACAATCTGGTGGACACAGACCATGTCCATAGGGCAGGGAGCAGGCATGTAGCTAGACTCCAGTGGACAGTTGCATCCAGCACATTGTGCCATGCCTTGGAATTCTTCTATCCAATCTGTTTGCCCACAGGGAGGTCTTCCCAACTGTTCTCCAGGCTTATTCTTTCTGTTCTGCTGACTTGCTGGAAATTCTCCCCTAGAAACCAACATCAGGAAATCGGGGGGCGGGGGGGAACAACAGAAAGATTCCCCAGCATTCTGGAGACCCACAACAGAAGGCTCCGCTCTCTGCTCCTGATTTCCCAAACTGTATGTTTGGGCATCCAGATTGACCAAAGGAAAAATCAGCTGGTTGTGTGTGGTTGGACAGGACTGAGCTCCTAGGCCCAGCGGCATCAGGGTAAAGTCTAAGGCCCTGATTTTCCTCTTTGAACTGGAGGGCACCAGTTCAACACTAGCGTTGTGTGTTAGACAACTGAAACTTCCATCCCCTTGACACTGTATTTGTCATATCTCCTCTTCCAAACCTTCTGGGTTCCAGCAAGGATATGATGCAGCACTTAGATAGTAATGGTTGCTCTTATCCAGGAAAGCCACACTCCCCCCCACGTTCTACCGTGCCCATAAAGAGCTAAACAGTTTTAAGTAAGTTCCTTCTTACATCACCACAGAGAGACCCAAGTTGAGGAAGGGAAACCTAAAAAAGAAGGGCATTAAATGCCAAGATTCAGAAATGGGAAGGTTCAGGAGATCCGAGTAGGTAGACTGGGAAGTAGAGCCTATCTCGAAGCTGAATGGTCTCAAGTGAAAGTGAAGGGAAAGGAGGAGAAAGGAGTAGACAAAGCAAGAAGAGAAGGATATAGCAAAGGAACAATCTTCCAGATAAAAGAGCATAGGCGGTATCAGGGAGATCTGTTCCAAAGCTTGAATTTAGTGTGGAAATGGCAGAAAGATGGAGACTGTTGAGCAGAGTGGCAAAGCGCCAGCAAGCACTTTCTCAGACACGGCTGTGGCCTCTTAGCCTCCCAGGACACACCACCACCTCCACCACTAAGCTCACACTCTCTGAACCCACCAACATCACAATGGACTCCAGAGAAGAGGTGCTGGACATCAGCACTGGCGTTTCTGGGTGTCTCGCCCCAGAATTGCTCTGAGCCCTCATTATCAGCCTGCATCCCCCTGTCAGCCTCTGTCCCCAGGAGAGTGGGCCTGGGGCTGAATGCACCTGAATACTGGCTGAGCTAAAATAGAGAAGTTTCCATCTAAGAAGTTAGCTTATGGTTCCTATGGCATATGTAGTGGGAAAATATTTCGCGGCCGCATTAGCGGCCGCGGCTCCGGAAAGAGTCCCTGGCACTGGGCGAGGAGTTGGGAATGTCTCCTGTTTGGAATTGGAGCCATTCAGCTTTGTTGCCCAGAGCTGGGCCTCTGTGCCCGTCCCACGCGGCTCAGGGGTTGAAAACCGGCTGTCTCGGGGCTGTTTCTAGCTGTGCGTGCCCAGAGAGGAACCCAGGCCCTTGGGGGCGGGCTGTACCTGTTGGAATTGGAGCCGTTCAGCTTTGTTGCCCAGAGCTGGGCCTCTGTGCCCGTCCCACGCGGCTCAGGGGTTGAAAACCGGCTGTCTCGGGGCTGTTTCTAGCTGCGCGTGCCCAGAGAGGAACCCAGGCCCTTGGGGGCGGGCTGTACTCACCTGAATACTGACTCCAGTGACTTCTGGCTTTTTCTAGGACAATCAATTCCTGGAAAACCTAAATTCCATAAATGTCGTTCTCCGGAAAAAGAAACCTTCACCTGCTGGTGGAATCCGGGGGCCGATGGAGGACTACCTACCAATTACACGCTGACTTACCACAAGGAAGGGTAATGTTCCATCAAAGCCCACATGCATGTCCCTGGGCACCAGACCCAGGGAACACTGGCTCTCAGGTAGAATGCCCACATTTCCCTGCATGCAGCTAAGCAAGGATCAAGGGACAAAGGGCTTGAGTGTGGGTATGCACATTCTTCTGTGAATGCTCGTGAGAAACTCTCTGGATGTGTGCATGCTTCTCTGCCATCCCAGTCATGCAGAACAGTGACGTCTCCATTGCAGGCTAGGTGCAAATCTCCAGTCTCAGAAAGATGCTTCCTGAGTCATGGTAGATTTTTTTATATCCTCAGTGCTTGTCCCAGGAGCCAGGGAGATAGATCAAAGTGCTGGGTCTCAGGACTGCACTGCCCCCCAAGCACTTGCAGAAGTGGCCCCCAAGCACTCAGCTGAGAGTGAGGTCTAAGTGCCACCAGGTGCAAAAAAAAATACAGAAAGAAACATAAAAGTTGAGAAATAAAAATGGTTTCATTTATACATATATTTAATGCATTGGAACCATATTTTTAATATAATCATTTGAGTGTATTGCTTTTTCATACATGAAAACAAGATTCTGGCCTAAGTGGGAAGGACACTCTAGATCCATTACCCCCACATCCACAACAATATTTCCATTAGAAAGATCTAGAACTCTCCAATCTCTTTATCCCCACTGTTTCTAGTCCCCAGTCAAAAATGATCAGGTCAGCTTGCAGAAAGGCGCATTCATTGTCTTGCTCCCGTTAAAGCCCACTCCATTGAGAAGAATGGGATAATCCCCGAGACACCCATGAAAGCTGTGTGACTGGTTAGCACAGAGGTGACAGGTCACCACTCACACCCAATGGCAGACCAGCTCTGGGGAAAGCATCCCCAGAGCCTGTCCAGAGATGATACTCTGGCCTTCTATGGGTTGAAATTAGTGAAAATCCTAGACCTAACAGGTCCCATATGGCCCTAAAATTCAAAAGCCAGAACACCGCAACCCTGCCCAGACCTTTCACTGCAGTTAGGATCTAATGCATTAAAACCAGAGTTTATGCTTTAAAATCAGACTTACACTATATTAAATTTAGCAATCATTACTTTTACAACATAAGAACATTATTGTGTCATCCTTGACAATCCATGACACACCAACTTTTCAAACTTCTTTAATGTTCAAGAAAATAAAGAGCTCTCTAAGCGTTTTTTATGAGCAGATGCAGGATCTGCCCTGTCCTAGAGGACAGAGAAGGTTGCTATGTGGACTAAATCAGTTCATCTCTGGGTGGGATTCTGGTACATGCCCAATGAGCCCCTCCAGGAAATCCCACCAGAGCTATATCTTTCCCCCATGAGCAAAACATTTACTGGTAGCAACAGCTGGCCCACTTCCCAGAGACAGCACTTTGTTGTACACAAAGCTGTCATCCCTTCTGGGACTGAAAAGGGTGTCATTTAAACAGATTGCAGGAACTAAAACTGGCAATTGAAACAAAGAAGGCTTCGCACCTGTATGGTGTGTCTCATGTTGAATCCCCCAACCCTAAATGTGAGCACCCTAGTGAGCCACTAGAACCTAGAAAATTCTCTTGCATAGTCTCTTCATGCTATTGCCAAATGAATATGGTCTGAACTATACTGCCACCTATTTCTATCCCCTTTCATCTTGTTTTGAAAAAAAATATATTCAGCATCTGTTTGCAAGAATGTCTTTCTTGGGTATGACCCCTGTCCCATTTCTTTTTTTTTTCATTTTTGATGCAATTTATTCTTCAACTGATAATTTTTTTTTAATTTTTATTAGTGAGACACCATGAGGTACAGTTGTAGCCTTACAAATTTTGTGCCCTGTCCCATTTCTGAGTTGACAAATGGCATTGTCCTAGTTGTGGTGATTCTCTGACTATTGGAAGCTCAATTATTTGTTGGTGGATAAGCATATATCACAAAAACTTGTACTAGAGAAAAGTTGGATTCATTAATTAAAAGTGTAGAGTCATTGAAAGTATAAAGTCATTAGTACCCTAAGGCAACTTAGATACACCCTTATCAGCATTCTCTTCTCACTCCCAGGATGACAGGGGCAGAAAACAGAAAATCAGAGCATGTTCTTCACCTCTAATTTTTGGGGTTTTGGGGGGGTATCTTTTTCCTTTTCTTTTTGGGCACACCAAGTGGCGCTGAGAAATCACTCCTGGCAGAGCTTAGGGGACCATATGGGTGGACTTCCAGGTTGGTCAAAGGCAAGGCAAGCATCTTACTAGCTATACTACTGCTCTAACCCCCAACCTAGTTTTTACATTTGGAATTCACAAAAACCTACTGGTAGGGTTCTATTAAGAAAAAACTATATTCCTTTCGCTACTTTCTTATTTACACCTAACATATTTCTTGTTGCAGAGAAACACTCACCCATGAATGTCCAGACTACAAGACCGGTGGGCCCAATTCCTGTTATTTTGACAAGAAACACACCTCCATATGGACAATGTATGTCATGACCATAAATGCCACAAATGAAATGGGAAGCAGTTCCTCGGATCCACTTTACGTGGATGTGACTTACATAGGTAAGGTGAAGGGGTTCTCAGGAGGAAGTTGTACCTCCATTAGGGATCTACCGATAGACCCAGTTTGAATCTTCTTGACTTTAAGGTGAATCCAGGAAGAAAGGAAAAAGAAAGATGATAAAATTCTCAATATTCTTGTCAACTGAGTCATTCAAACCAATTTTTATCAAGCCACTCAGACCATAGGACTGACATTAGGGATACTTGTGTTCTGTACTTTCCTTTGACCCTTCCTCCTTCCCATCTCTCTGAATCCAACAGGAATGTTCTATTTATTCTTTCTTAATCAGTTCTCTCCAGCCCTTCTCCTGTGACTGCTGTTACCTTCGCCTTTGATTCTCAGATTTTATTTCTCTCTCCCTGTGGAAAGAAAGCTGCTCCATGGGGTATCAGCTCTTAGAATATATCCATGTGGCTCCACACCCACAGGAATTGCTAAGCTCCAGTTTTCAATATACAAATGGCTCTTAGTAACAGAGCTATAATTTTAAAAATAAAGAATTTGGGAAGTAAATAATGCTGCTTGGACAGCTGGCTGAAGGCCAAGATCTCAAGTGCAGCATTTGGAAAAGCGTCGGCTAAGTAAAACAAAGTCAGTCTGAGAGCTGCTTCTTGATTTTCATGGTCAACATTGAACTTCAGCAATTAGGCCATAACTGTTGTTCATCGGGAAGGACAAAATGACAAGAGGACAAGAGATGGTTGAACCAAGACTGAGTTAAGCCCTACTTTACTCCTTTATTACTTAGGGTAATAATCCAGGCTATAATGTATTGAGTTCAGTGTCACCCAAGACTTTCTGCTTGACCTACCACCACTAAATTTTTATTTTTTATTTTTTTAAACGTGAATGAGAAATAGTTTTTTTAATTTTTTTAATTGTTTTAAATTTTTTATATTTTATTGAATGACTGTGAGATAGACCCTTACAAAGCTGTTCATGATTGGGTTTCAGTCATACAATGTTCCAACACTTGTTCCTTCACCAATGTACATTTCCCATCACCAATGTCCCCAGTTACCCTCCCATTCCCTACCCCAACCTGTCTCTATGGCAGGTATTTTTCCTCCCTCCCTCTCTTCCTCCCTCCATTTCCTCCCTCCTTCCCATCCTCCTTCCTCCTCCTTCTTCTCTCTCTCTCTCTCTCTCTCTCTCTCTCTCTCTCTCTCTCTCTCTCTCTCTCCTTTTGGACATTGTGGTTTGCAATAAAAATACTGAAAAGTTATCTAGTACATCCCCTTCACCTTCTTTTAGCACTCAATTCTTGTCCAGCATGATAATTTCCAGCTAATTATTGCCACACTGGTCCCTTCTTTTTCTTACCTACTACCACCTAATTTTTTTAAAAAATCAGACTAGAACACTCAAGTATTCACTTGTACAACTTCCTTATAACTAGAAAAGCTTTCAGCACTCACCATGTAAACTTGCATCTAACGAATTACTTCCAAAAGCATAGGGGTGGAAATTGAATTTGATCTTAGTTTTTAAAAAAATAATCAAAAAGTGGGTCCATTGGTAAGAAGGAATAAAATATGCTCCAGTTATATAAATGTAAATAGTTACACCTTAAAGATGCTGCATGTCAAATAATTCCACTGTATAGGTTCTTCCTTGAGTTGCTGTCTTCTAAAATGCTAAAATATTTAATATCTGAGGGCAAACAGTGATAGCAAGAAAAGTTCTGAAATGAGCAAATGTTAAAATGAATACTTCTCATCAAGAAACCAGGTGTTGTCACTTACAAAGATTAAGTGCATTTCAAAAAGTAAAATCAATGAGTGTATCAAATTTACATTGACTCTGGAAAATAATTCTCTGTTGAAAGAATGTGTTGGACCATCATTTTCAAAGCAGTCAAAGTGTTTTTGGAATTCTCCTATCACCCTCAGAATACATGGTTGGTGGCTGGCCAAGAGAAGTTCATTAAAAATCAGTTTTAACCACAGTACATTTTCTGTCAGCTTGACTTTTATCCACTGATAACCTGCAGTACAGAATGACAACATTGGCAGATGTTTCAGAAACAGATTCTACTGTTCTTGTTAAGTAATGCTTGACTATGCTGGAGATGCTTGAAAATAGTAATTTTCAACTGGAGGGGACTTTTTATGCACCGGGATATTTGTCAATGTCAGGACACATATTTGACAACTGCAACCAAGAAGAAGGAACAGAAAGAGGGTGGGTGTAACTGACATCCCATATTCTAGAGGTTCTTGTAAATATCCTGTGAGTCTTGGGATATCTCTACACCCCCCCACACACACACAAACTAATGCACAATAAAGATTTTTATAGTTCAAAATGTGAATAATGCTAAAGTTATGAAAGGTCGCTTAAAAGATGAATCTTCAACATTTTACTCATATTTTTTGCACAAATATGTGTCTGATCAAAGGGATTTCTCATTATTTTATTTCACATAAAGCCTATGTTAAAGAACTATGTTTAGTTAATAAGTGCATAGAGAGTAATCATCCTTAGGTGTCAACCATGTAACACATAAATATCAAACTACATGGCAGATTTTCTAAGCAATCACTGATTTCTTTATTTAGGAGAATTATTGGTCATAATATCAGATACAACTATGGTTATACTCAATTTTATCCACTTGGTATGTAGACAGATTTAAGGGAATAAATAGAAAAGAGGAAAAGTTTCCTGAGATTGGAGTAAGGCAAGTTAGAATCTGAGGTATCTCAGTCTTAATGAGGCCTTTGATTGAAAAAAACCAAGTAAGAACTATGTTAGTTTGTTGTGGTGGTTATAGACACGTACATAAAATGTACCACTTTAGCCATTTTAAAGTGTGCACTCAGTTACATTAGTTCATTCACAATGTTATGCAATCATCATCACAATCTATGTTTTAAACACTTCCACCACTACAAATGGAAAATTCATACCCTTTAATAAACTCCTAATTCACCTCTTTAGCCCCAGAGCAATCAGTGATTTCCGTCTATCTGCCTTTTTTTCTAGATCATTCATCTATATGGAATCATACAGTGGTCACCTTTTGGATCTAGCTTTTTCATTTAGTATATTTTCAAGTTTTATCGAAGTCATAAAATATGTACCAGCATTTCTTTTTATATATAAACAATATTCCATTATATGGATATTTTTTCTCCATCTGTGAGTTTGTGGACATTTATATTGTGTTCCATTATTGATTATGACAACTGTGCAGCTATGAACATTTATGTCTAATTTTTTGTTCAAACACCTACTTTCAGTTCTTTAGGGTAATTTCTAAGGAGTAAGATTCCTGGGCAGCAGGGTTAACTTTCTTAGAAAATTTCAGATTTTTTCCCCAATCTGGTTGTATTGTTTTATATTCCCATCTACCATATCTAAGAGTTCCAATTTCTCCACTTTCTAATCAAAACTTTCTGTTTCTCAGTTTTCAAACTTTAGTCCTCTTAGAGGGTATGAACTAATCTTGAATAATCCTCAGATTGTGTTTTAATTTGTTTTTTAAAAATGACTAATGATGCTGAAACATCATTCATGTAACTTGTTGACTACTGGTTCCTTCCTAAATTGTGTACCCCAGACATCTTGCTTGCATAATCCTAATCCCAGTCTGTGTATTAGCACCTCACATGAAATATACCATGCCTCATAACCATGGTAGACTGAAATAGTATAGCAAGCTGCCTCCAAGATTTACATTTAAATGTCACTTTCACTAAATATGTGACTATATGAAAGTAATTTCCCCTCCTGTAAGGCTGTCTTCTCCTCTGTAGAATGGGTATTTCAGGAAGCTGTTTTGAGGATAAAATAAAATATTCAGGGCCATTGTTTTTCACAGTGCCTGACAGACATATAGTGAGCACTTAAGTAATGTTAATTACACTTGCTAGTAGAAATTCAGTATATCTTTGGTAAATGAGTGAATGCGCCGAAGGCTATTATAAGATGATTGAGGGTAAAAGGTAAAGGCCCTCCCGTTGATCGTCGATTTGCTCGAGCGGGCCCAGTAACGTCTCCATTGGAGACTTTGTTGTTACTGTGTTTGGCATATCGAATACTCTCGGTAGCTTGCCGGGCTCTCCGAGAGGGGCAGAGGAATCGAACTCGGGTCAGCCATGTTGGCCGCTTATAAGGCGAACGCCCTACCCGCTGATTGAGGAATCGTTACCCAAAAGTCCAATCTCTACATTTTAATGATTGAATATTTGAGAGATTAGATTTTATTCACCATAGAAAGTAATATCTACACTAAATATAAAACATAACTACTGAAGCAAAAATGAACTCTGTTACCTACTGAGATTAATTATTCATAGATCTTTCACAAGACTTTGTGTGTGTGTCATTGAAGGGAAGCTTCTTCCTGATGAGGGAAATAGATACTTAAATTCTTTCCTGTAATCCTTCACTCCATCTCCCAGTTTTACAATGCAGTGTAATTTATATAACCTGATCCCTGTTATCATGAAAATTATTCCAGTGGATACTTTGTCTTGTGGCTGGTAGAAAGTAGAGGTAACATGTCAATAATAAAATCTTAGTTGCTTATTATTCTTCAAGCACCTTGTGCTTCATCTTCAAGTACAAATATGTTAAAGTTCCTATGAAGGGCCATGTGATACATAACCTTTGTCTTCCATAGTTGAGATCAATAGAATAATAACTAGACAGTTTATTATAGAAAACAGGAAAGTCAAATAAAAGGTGCAAGCAATGAATACTACAGAGTTTATTTCATATTACAGTTGAACCAGACCCTCCTGTCAACCTGACTTTGGAAGTAAAACAGCCAGAAGACAGAAATCCGTACCTGTGGATGAAATGGTTTCCACCCACCCTGGTTGATGTAAGATCTGGTTGGCTCACACTCCAGTATGAGATTCGATTAAAACCTGAGAAGTCAGATGAGTGGGAGGTGAGTTAACCAGAAGCTGGAGGTCTCACAGAAGAGAACAGGCTGTTCCTCCTAATTATTGGGCCTCCATGTTACCCATCTGAGACTGGTCTAGCCCACCCAGATGTGAAAGGGCCTCCTTCCTGAGATACTCATTTACATAGCTCTCCCAGACCTATTTCCTTACACTGAGCAGACTCTTTCGTCAGGTTTCCAACCCAGTATGCCTTACAGCTAGTCATCTGTAAGCGTATTTCAAGTGGGACGAAACGAGGTGAAGGGAGGGCTGATCTCAAAGTAGTCATGGACAGCATTATCGGTGGCTGACTGTGATTGAGTTCACAAGTAAATCAATCAGGTAGTAAATGTTGTCATTATCATATTTGACCCTTAAATACTTAGACTATGTCTCTTTCGAAGAGCTAAATCTAAGTAATCAAAGTAACAGTTATCACAAAAGAGAATTAAGTTCATTAACTTCACTTAATAGCCACTCCATGTTTTAATTACCTGTTACTTCAAAAATATCTTTAATATAACACAATAGGAGATTAATACCTAAGAATAGCCGAGATCAGTACCAGGAGGATTACTCCATGGCTTAGAGGCCAGGTGGGCATTCTAGGGGAAAGGGCAGCTCAGAGAGAGAGGGGAGCACCAAATAAAGGGGGTTGGGAGGATCCTCCCAGGATGGGAGATGCATGTTGAAAGTAGACTATGGACCGAACATGATTGCCACTCAATGCCTCTTTTGCAGACCACAACACCCAAAAGGAGAGAGAGAACAAAAGGGAATGCCCTTCCACAGAGGCAGGGTGGAATGGGGGTGGGGGAGGGATACTGGGATCCATGGTGGTAGAAAATGGGCACTGGTGGAGGGATGGCTATTTGATCATTGTATAATCGAAACCCAAGCACAAAAATTTGTAAGTCTACAACTGTACCTCATGGTGTTTCACTAATAAGGTAAAAAGGTAAAGGTAAAGGCCCTCCCGTTGATCATCGATTTGCTCGAGCAGGCCCAGTAACGTCTCCATTGGAGACTTTGTTGTTACTGTTTCTGGCATATCGAATACGTCACGGGGAGCTTGCCAGGCTCTGCCATGCAGGCGAGATACTCTCGGTAGCTTGCCGGGCTCTCCAAGAGGGGCGGAGGAATCGAACTCGGGTCGGCCATGTTGGCTGCGTGCAAGGCAAATGCCCTACCCACTGTGCTATCGCTCCAGCCCTTCATATTTAAAAAAATATCTTTAACAGTTAATTTTCCTAACCATAATTCACTTTAGGACCATCCACTGAGGCTGATTGTTATATTCTGTGCTCAGAAAATTGGGGTTAGTGTCCCATAGAGTGTGCTACCTTCTACATTGAAGTTTTTGTGGAATCATTTAGTTAATTGTTCTTCCATTGTGTTTCCTGTAAACAGACTCTGTATCTAAAGACTTTGTTATAAGGTCAGACAGATAGATCGTAGGAGAAGAGCGCATGCTCTGTATGCAGGAAGCCTTGGTTGAGTCCCTGAGCACTTCTAGGTGTAATCAAAAAAGGAAAAAAGACAATAAAAAGACTTCATTAGGTATGGATGAAAAAAATGTCTGGAAGGAAAACTTAAGAGGTGATAGCATATGCTTCATATTGCATCATTACCCAAAAGTCTAATCTCTACATTTTAATAATTGAATATTTGAGAGATTGGACTTTATTCACCATAGGAAAGTAATATCTTAAAAACAGAATTACTGAAGTATCATTGTTTCATAGCAGGAAACACACACACACACAAACACACACACACCACCTGTTGACCCACAAGAAATGATGTTAGAACCAACCCCTGGATTAGAGAGATCACAAACCAATCCTTTGATTATAAAATTGTTTTTGATTCATGCATTATTGATTCAACATAGATGAATTTCCACCTCTCTTACACCTAATGGTTTTACACAAATTAATAATCCTGAATCTATTATTTTATTAGTCTTTTTTTAAAAAATCACAGCTTCCAACTGTGCTAGCTAGTCTTCTTCCATAATGCAGAGATAGGGAAGAAAGTATTGTTAAAACAGAGTTTTAAATAGACGGATAAAGAAACTTTACTTTGATATAAGAAACTTATCTATGTTTTTTTTAATTTCTACAATTTTGTTAGTGTTATTAGTTCTCTCCCTACTAACAACATTCCCTCCCACACACACAATCCCTTGCCCAAGTATAAGCAGTTTTTTAAGAGGTAAGAAAAATAGGCTGAGTGGGAAGAATGGTGACCTTAGACTATCCACTAAGCCTACCTTTCTGGCCCCTTTGCTCCAATAGTCTTCTCTAGGGGAAATCTCCAGTTTATTCTCCCCTTTATAACACAACTTCTCTTTTTGTTCCTCCCTAGACCCATTTTGCCGGGCACCAGACTCAGTTTAAGATTCTCAGCTTATATCCAGGACAGAAATATGTTGTCCAAGTTCGTTGCAAACCCGACCACGGATCCTGGAGTGAGTGGGGCCCAGAGAGCTCTATCCAGATACCTAACGGTAAGTGCCTAAGGGATCTTATCCCTCTATTTGTGAATCTTTTTAAACGTAGTGAATGAAGTAAATCTGCATGTAGTAATTTGCAAAGGAACTGTTTAGAATCTTATCCAGAAGAATAAGTAGAGGTGGGTTTATTATCTCCCCACGCCATTCAAAGAAATTTGAAAGTGAAGGGCTGCTCTCTGATCTTTACCATGAGAAACCATTTCCAGCAAAGCCGCAGAGATAGGAGTGGCAGGTCCCAGGGGACTGGATCATCTCCCTGCCCTCTTCATCTGCTCTTTCAGACCATTAGTCCATCATCTCATTCTGGAAGAATTTGTAAGATGGTGTCTTATGTGAAGGATCTAGATGGATTTTCAGTTTCTGGTATTAATTGCATGTCAGTCTCTTCACTGAGGAACAGTATATAAGAGACTCAATTCTAGCTACCTTTAGCCATGGTGGCCTGTAATTCCACTAGTATATAATTCTTATTATGTTTCTAAAATACTTTATAATTTACCAAGTCGTTACCTTGTTTGGTTTTCCTACTTGTTCATTATTAAGAGAGAATATAATATTCAGAATGAATGTTGCCATTAAAGTTAAAAGTGAGGAAACTGAAATGTATTAAAGTTAGAACTTTTATGCCCAGAACCATAAGACAAAGCTTCACTCTTCTGAAACTTGCCTAGGCAGTATCAGGGCTTACTACTCAACTATCAAACTGGGAAGGTTTTATGATTTACATGTTGATCTAAACTAACCCTGGTTCTTACTAATAAAAAAACCATAGGTTTTATTAGTAAGAGGCAAAAGGATTGGATTTAAATACTAAACTGCAACTTTATAATCACATACTCATGAATATATTATTTTTTATTTTTAGTTTTCTCATATTTACATACAAAAAACTGTATATAAAGAACTTTACACCAGCGCTGGCTTTTAATAAGAACCTTATGCTATCTTTTATTATTAGAATGCAACAGACCATGTGGCCTTGTATTCTTTCTTTATTGCTCAAATTTTAAAACATGTAAAATAATTTTGAAATTTATAGAATACAAACAAGTATACACGAGTATATTTGCTCGAGCGGGCCCAGTAACGTCTCTATTGGAGACTTTGTTGTTACTGTGTCTGGCATATCGAATACGTCACGGGGAGCTTGCCAGGCTCTGCCGTGCGGGCGAGATACTCTCGGTAGCTTGCCGGGCTCTCTGAGAGGGGCGGAGGAATCGAACTCGGGTCGGCCATGTTGGCTGTGTGCAAGGCAAACGCCCTACCGCTGTGCTATCGCTCCAGCCCGTTGTGCTCGCTTCAGCAGCACATATACTAAAATTGGAACGAGTATATTAAAGTTTTAATAATATTAGAAAAATCATGACTAATGTTACTCTATAAGGAATTCTGATCAAGCCAAAAGAGGTGTGGGAAAATAGGGAAACCCTCCTGTTCAAATGTTTCATTCACTAGTTTTGTTTTTTTCTGTTGCTTATTTGTTTTTAATGGTGCTGTGTGTGATCAAAGCTTTCTGGCTGTTTGCTTTCTAGACTTCACCATGAAAGATACAACCGTGTGGATCTTTGTAGCTGTTCTTTCTGCTGTCATCTGTTTGATTATGGTCTGGGCAGTGGCTTTGAAGGGCTATAGGTACTTTTCTCTCTATCAACCTTCCTACCCATCATTGTTGTCTCAGATAATAGCAAAAAAAGACAATATAAAGATAATGGAAAACTGTGGGTGATTCAGGCTCCTTATTTTAGCCATTAGTTCCATTGTATTCACACACACACACAACACACACACACTCACACTCCTTTTATCTGTGTTAACAAAAGTAAAACAGATCTTTTTGAAGCTGGTGTTCTTTCCAGTAGTTGTGAAATGGTGAAAAAAATATATATCTTTGGGCTAAACTCTCCCTTTTCAGAGGATTAGGAATGAGTGCCTGCTGTGATTTATGTAAAAGGAAAAATCAGCAAGCAATAAAAAGGGGGGGGACACTTTATGTGGCCAGAGAATAAAGAACTTACTTCTGTTAAAAAAAATCTGGTAAGAGCAGTTAAAATCAATATAAGCAAAGAATTGAAATAAGTCACAAATTTCAGAATAGTCTTCCCCCATTCTCCAGAGCTAATTTTGATGCAAGATTTCTATATTTATTAATTGTTTTCACTATTGATTGTTAGTTTAATGTGGACTCAAAATTTTATTTCCTATCTACTGCAATCCATGTAGCAGCTACTTAGAGATAATACGTTTAAAATTTCAACGGGAGAAAAAATTCATTTATCCTATCTCACAAATTATTTTATAGCATGATGACCTGTATTCTTCCACCAGTTCCGGGTCCAAAAATAAAAGGATTTGATACTCACCTGCTTGAGGTAAGTCCTAAATGGTAGAAGGCTATGTGACTCTCTGTTTTGTAATAACTACCTTTACATATGCATGGACTGGAGCGATAGCACAGCGGGAGGGCGTTTGCCTTGAATGCAGCCAACATGGCCGACCCGCGTTCGATTCCTCTGCCCCTCTTGGAGAGCCCGGCAAGCTACCGAGAGTATCTCGCCCACACAGCAGAGCCTGGCAAGCACCCCGTGACGTATTCAATATGCCAAACACAGTAACAACAAAGTCTCCAATGGAGACATTACTGGGCCCGTTCGAGCAAATTGATGAATAATGGGAGGACAGTGATACAGTGATACAGTGATACAGTGATACATATGCATACACAATCCCCATCATTTCCATCTGGCCATTTAGTCATCCTCATCCAACTGCATGTTTGCAAACAGAAGGCATGAGAATGCATACTGCCAGATGCATAATGTCAGAGGAAAAGGAGAAACGCCAAGAAAGCACAAAAATGTGTAACAATGCTATGCCTGCTCTGTGTGCCACAGCTGTTTGTAGACATAGAGACAAATACCTTTTAGAAACAAGGGCTGGCTCCCCAGCAGGTAGCTCAGTGGGTCAGAGCTGTGGTGCTGATAGAAACAAGGTGACAATTTTGATTAATAAAACACAGGAACCCACCATCCCCCCCACCTCCATTATACACTATTAAAAAAAACCTTGCTCTTAAATGTCCTATATTTAAGACCATAGTCACAGAAAACCCTATTGCCACTGCCCAGACTGAGCACTCAGTTAAGGTGGGATTGCTGCAGTGGTCCTGGTGTGCTAGGGACCGGTTAGACTGATTCAAGAAATTACACTTCAGTGTTTTAAATAAAATGAGTGGATAGGACATTTTTTAATTTCTCTTCAGGTTGAAATATCTAGCTTCATTTTAGTTGTTTTTTGTTTTTTTATTTTATTGAATTACCATGAGATATAGTTACAAGCTTTCATGTTTGAGTTACAATCACACAATGATCAAACACCCATCCCTCTACCAGTGCACATTCCCCACCACCAATATCCCCAGTATACCCCCCCTTTCCCACCCTCCCACTGCCTCCATGGCAGATAATATTCCCCAGACTCTCTCTCTACTTTTGGGCATTATGGTTTGCAATGCAGATACTGAGAGGTCATCATGTTTGGTCCTTTATCTACTTTCAGCACACATCTCCCATCCCAATTGATTTCTCCAACCATTATTTTCTTAGTGATCCCTTCTCTATTCCAGCTACCTTCTCCCCCCCGCCCCCATCGCTTCTCCCCCCTCCACCCACTGCTGCTCATGAGACAGGCTTCCCATAGCTTCATTTTTACCTTAAACTTAACACTTGAGGTACATAGAAGAAGCCACTAGCACACTATATTACTTGGTCCAGCTACCATGAAGCCTACAACATAAGAATTGAAAAGTGAGTCTCAGAGAATTTGGCTTAACTGCATTCATTTAGGTAACAGATACCAGAACAGGAACCAAAGCCCTATAAATTTGGGCTCCTGGTCCAGTATTCTTTTTTTTTATTCTAACTAAGCATTGGTTCACACCCACCACCAAAGCAAGATGAACCCTCCACCACAGTCTTTCCCTCCACCACAGCCCTTTCAGCCTACTTCTTCCATCTAGGTGACTTTGACTCTATTTTCATGCTAGGATGTCTTTCTGATTAAAAATATATATATCTTTGTTTTTTAATTTACTTTATCAATTTAATTGATTTACAGTTTCCTGGTTCAAGATTTTTGCTCTGTTCACCTATATGTGTACGTGCTATCACCTTCACAAAAGACAGAAAGAGAGAGAGAGACAGAGACAGAGACAGAGACAGAGACAGACAGAGACATAGAGATCTATCCCAAATATGAGATAAAAGAAAACATTAAAAGAAAATAAAAAATGATCAAAGTCATCAGAACTGAAGATATTATCTCTAGAACTGAGCATACATGGCTGGCATGGGGGTGGGAGGCCCTGATCCTTGGGACACTGGTGGAGGGAAGCAGGCTCTCTGGTAATGAGTGTAGTGTTAGAACGATGTATTCATTTTTGAAAAGACTTAACAGTATTGTAAATCCTTGTACCTCAAAAAAATGTTTCTTTTTAAATGTTACTTTCCAACACATGAACATAAACTATTTTTTCATTTTCTTATTCTTTACCCACTTCTCTTAGTAGCAAAACTTATGGGTTTTGATGTATATAAGTCTTTTGCTTCCTTTTGTTCCTAAGTATATAATTTTGATGCAATTATAAATGGAATTATCTTCCAGATTTCTTTCCTCTTCTAGTTTGTAGTTTCCATAGAGATATGCAGCATATTTTTGTATACTGACCCTGTAACCTGCTTCTTTACTGTATTGATGTGTTGTTTTTAATAATTTTTAGTTGAACCTTTAAGATTTCAATGTATATTTTCATGTCATCCCAAGTTGGGATGTTTTACTTCTTTTTTCCAATTTCCATTGCACAATACTTATTTCCACTCCCATGTTCTAACACCACCCTTTAAATAAACAGTATAAATATCTAAGCTATCCAACCACTGTCTCGCAATTAACTCATCAGACAATGATAAAAAGAACTACTCTTTGTGTCAAAAAGAATATTTTCATTTTCTTGATCAGATTACTTCTGATCCTCAGAAGAATTCTCGCATGTGGATACTATCATTCCATTTTTTTCAAATGAAAAAAACTGAGGCTCGTTAAGCAGCTTGTACAAAATCACAGATCTTTGAGTAAGTGATAGAACTATGATTTGGGTACCAGCAGCTGGAATAAGTCAGAGGATCCCAAAGAAGGCTAGAGTGTAGGAGGAGGCAAGAGGAAGTAAGGTAAAGAATAAAGAGAAGATACTAGAGTAACATAGGAGATAGAAAAAGACTGGGAAGTAGAAAGAGCAGGAGAAAGGAGATGGAAAGGAATAGGAAGAACAGGAAACAGGATAAAAGAATGGAGGGATGGGAGAAGCAGATAGAAGAAGAGAATAAATGAGAATTAACTTACTACAACCAACACACACAAAAAAAATGGTCAGCAAACTTTTTTCGCCACCTGCCAGTAATTCCCAAAACGCTATGTGTATTTTGTGAGTTTAGCTGTTTTACAAGCTTTTCTTATTCAGTAATAGCGTGCTCATTGTATGTGAGCACGGTTTGCTCTCTTAGACTTGTAATCTTTGCTGTCTACAGTTTAAAAATCATATTGTGACTAAAATTAAAAAAGAATAGTAATCAGGGAGGTGATTATAATATGGAAATGTCTAGAAGTTTGGTGAATGCTGCCAAGTCATTGTCACATCCCAGGTGCCTGTAGCTGAAAGTGCAGGCAGGGAAAAGAGGCAGAATGGCTCATTAGGGAACTAACCCCTTGCTCGCCTGTGTTTGTGTTTTGATAGAAGGGCAAATCGGAAGAACTGCTGAGTGCCCTGGGATGCCAAGACTTCCCCCCGACTTCTGACTGTGAGGACTTGCTGGTAGAGTATTTAGAAGTTGATGACAGTGAGGACCAGCAGCTGATGCCAGGACATTCCAAAGAACACCCCGCTCAGAAAATAGACCCGGACAGTGACTCTGGCCGAGGAAGCTGTGACAGCCCTTCCCTTTTGTCAGAGAAGTGTGAGGAGCCCCGGGCCAATCTCCCGAAATGCCACACTCCTGAGGGAACTGAAAAACCAGACAATCCCAAACCCACCATTATCCGCACCTGGAACCCCCAGAACTCAAGCTTGGGAGCCAAGATTCCCCTTTTTCATGCAGATGCCTCCAAGTCTTCAACATGGCCCTTACCACAACCTCCCGGAGAGCAGAACCCCAGATCTTCTTACCACAATATCGCTGACGTGTGTAAGCTGACCCTGGGCACAGCAGGCACAGCTGCCACTTGGCTGGACAAAACAGACAAAGTTGCTCTTAAATCCTCAGAAACCAATGAGACTGCAGAGGAGGAAAAGGCAGCAGAGCCGAGGAAGGGGGGCAGTTTTCAGCCCAAGACTGGCCAAGACATGGCGTTGCTGCCACCGCCAGAGCAAACCCCCTTCCTGTCTGCAAAACCGCTGGATTATGTGGAGATTCACAAGATCAACAAAGACGGCGCACTGTCATTACTCCCAAAACAGAGAGAGGACAGTGACCCTGTGGAGAAGCTGAGAGCTCCGGAAACCAATAAGGAGTATGCGAAGGTATCCAGTGTGATGGATAACAACATCCTAGTCTTGGTACCAGATCCACGAGCTCAAAACCTGGCTTTGCTAGAAGAACCCACCAAGGAAGTGCCACCTTTTCTTCAACAGAACCAAGCCGAAAATGACCTGGCCTCCTTTACCACGACCCCCGGCAACTGCAGACTCCAACTGGGTGGGTTGGATTACCTGGATCCCACAGGCTTTGTGCACTCCTTTCAGTAATGATTTGGTGGATAAGATGGTTGGTTAAAATGTGATTTTTTTTTTCTTCAGGTAACACTACAGAGTACACAAAATGCAATCTACTAGACATTGCCTAAGAGTGTGGTTAGAATAACACTACAAAAACTCACAGTTCACGCCTTTTCATGCTCCATTTTCAACCAGTTGCCTCTCTCTCCAACAGCTGATTCCAGAACAAATTGTTTCATTTCCTAACTGTGATTTGTGATTTCCTTTACTTGCTATTACTTATAAAAATTATGTGTTCAATGAAATAAAAGCACATTGTTTAGTGTTTTGGAGGGATGGTGCCAATAGGTATATCCTTGGGGAAAGGCTTTAATGGTTGAGTATGTGATAGAAGGAAATGAAAATAGTCATAATTGTTTACCACAGAAAGATGACAGACATGAGAAAATGCCTTGAAAACCAATTACTTAATCTTTATACTCCTCTTTCATTTGATTAGGATTAACTAAATATAATACATTTGAAGAAAGACTGTATATCAGACACCCAACAAATTGTTTATATCATCCAATTACCTTAGTGATGGCTTGCCAATATGCAAATCAAAAATGATGCCTCTAGCTCTTTCTTAAAATAGTTCAAATTGTCAAGTATGTATTCCCTCCCCCTAAATTGAAATCTATTCTAAAGACTCTAAAGAGATTATAGTTTGGGGAAGTCAAATTTCTTACACAAGAGGCAAATAAATTCCATGTAGTAAATTCTTCTAAAATATTTCCCTGTTTCATTTTGGCATGATCTATCACTTAATATAGATCCTAGTCTTCTTTCACTGAGGAAAACATCCCAAAAGACTAACTTTAATTTAAAAGATAATCATAGCAGGATGCTAGTGAAAATACTGCCTTACTGTAAATACAAATTCTACTTTAATATAAACCCATAATTTAACAATGTATTTTTGAAGACTATTTTTCTATCACTTAGGTAAAACAAAAGACAATTTTCTATCTTTCCCACTACAGCTGTTTACGTATTCAGTGGGTACGGTGTTTTCTGCTATAAGGTTGTAATGAGATTTACAGTACATATTAGTATATGCAGCTTCTCTCTGTGGAGTAAAATGCCATATCAACCCGAAGTTCACTGAGAAATAGGAAGTGGGTGACAATACTCAATTTCCAACAAAATAGAGTATAGTGTATCTGGTTTCTTTTTTTCTCCAGAATACTTTGAACAATAAACACCAACCTAGAGTTTTAGGGCTCTCCACAAACCAAAAATTGCTTCTTCTGTAAGTTTCGGGCCAGTCTGGGGCTTCTGCTCTTCTCTAGACACATGAATCTTCTTAAAGCTACCATGGGAAAGAAGCTCAGTTACTCCTAAGGTAGTGTTCGAAAGAGAGGGTTTGATTTGGTTTTGCTTTGATGAACCAAACATGAACCACAGAGAAATTTTAGGCAAAGCCAACAGTATTTCTCTGGAGGAGACACATCAGCAAATCCTGGACAGAGGCAGACTCATATCAAAAGAGTCCAATAAAAGTTCTAAGAAACCAAGTATCAGCAGGGAAGTGGGAAGGGTTAAAACATCCCTGGTAGTGAGGATTTCTAAGTGAGTTCCATGGGCAAGCTCCCCAAGAATCATCAAAAGCCCAGATCTTCATTTTTAAGACAGCATCTGTGACTCATTCAATTATCTTCCTCTTTCCTTTAATTTTCATTGAAGGGTCATGAGTTACAAAGTTACTACAACTGTCTCCCTCTTTTTTTTTAAATTTTGCCTGATGGTAAATCCATTCCTGATGTCTACTCCCTAGCTAAACAGAAAATTCAAGTTCACTCCTAAAGGTTAAATGTTCTACCCCAACAATATTCATGATGATAAGAACTGGACTCACAGCTAACCTAATATTTGAAAGTGAGCACTTGACAGGGTTTCCAGAATTGCCATGTTCTTGAGACTCTATTCTTCCAATACATAAATAATGTATACATTATATATTGAGGAACCGAATATTTAGGAAAGCTGCCCAAATTCATCCAGTCTTGTTATTCAAGCAAAGTAAACAAAGATCCTTATTGCTCAGATATGTGTTGGCATTTGACTGGACACTGATTAGAAATGTACAATCTCAGCCCCCCTTGCCCCAGATCTGCAGAATTAGAATCTGCATTTTACTAAGATACCAGATGATTTGTGTGCACTCTAAAGTTTTAGAAGCAGTACCCAGTAAAGGTTATTTTAGTGCATGGAAGAAATTACTCTCTTGAAAACTACAAGTCAAATCTGTTTGACTTGCAGTAAACAACACTATGTAAGGAAAGAGCATAATTTGTCCTAAGTATTACTGGTTTTATGTTCCTGTAATATAGAGTGACATATAAAAGACTAACTCTCTTCAAGAGACCAGGAACATCTTCCACCTAGAGAGATATTGACCAATGACTGTTTCCATCACACCCAATAGAATCAACCTTTATTCCAAATAATCCATTCTTCTCTAACCACTGCTATAGTTTAAAAAATTCAAAAACAAATCTTTTTAAATATAACTTGGCATATGTTTTTTAAAGTATGGCCAAAAAATTAACTTGAACTAAGTCTCTTTAAAACATCAATTAGCCCCTCATTAGGTAAAATCAAAGCTGCAATGCTATGGTCAGTTAGGACTCTATAAGAATTGGGTTTTGTTTTCATGAGTTAATATAATTTCTATCAGGGAGATGGTTAGTCAAATGGAAGGGTCCAGGCTGAGCAGTCAAGACTCAGACTTGAGACTAACTTGGTTGCCTAACTAAGTTCTCTTCTCTAAGCTTCTGATTCCTTGGAAGAAAATGCTATGCCAAATAATCTCTAAGGCCTTTTCAAACTTTGACTCCCTGATTTTATGATTCATTTCATATTTTCCAGGAAAGATAATTTGATCCAATGCCCATATCTTAATTTAGATAATAAATAAATCTATCATAGAAATACAAGGACTCTTTAGAATGGACACATTTAATTTCATTTTGAAATCATCAATTTCAGTTAGTCCTAACATATTTTACATGCATAAATTATACAGATACAAAATCATTCTAAGATTATATGTATAGAATGAAGAGGCTTGAGATTTTAACAAAAGACATCCTGAATAAGATTCAAATTTTCAGAAGTGATCTTTTACTGAATAAAGCCATGCTCATCTCTAGCTGAGCCCTACAGTCCCTAATCTTTTTGCTTTTTTATATCTAGCAACTGATCCTGGTTAATTTTGCTTTGGTTGTCTCTCTCTCTCTTTCTCTCTCTCTTTCACACACACATATACCCCACCCCACCCACACACACATACCCACACACACACACACACACACACACACACACATATACACACCATAGATTATGAACAATCAGTGTTCAATTGTTTGAAAGAGTTGTATAGTCCAAGTTACCAAAATTCATTTTTATAAAAACCTAAACATTCAAGTTAAAAGGCACTGAGAAACTGCAGCTAGCTGTAGGTGATTGAAGGACTCTTATGACCTACACTGCAATGAGTTTACCTGTCATTTTAGTGAACAAATAGAAGGCACCCCAATATGAGCACAAGTTGTTATCAGCCATGTTCATGACACTACATTCCCCTAAGTGCCTAAGACCAATCCTGGTAGGCAGTTGTGTACTGAAAACTTGCTCTCACTGGTTTGGTTCAAAGGGTATCAATCCCTTACCATCTTTATAAGAATAAAGATCTTGATTCTTTATCCTGTAGTGACCCAATCAATCAAAGACTCCTATGAGTTTAGGCAGAGAAAGTTGAGTCAAGGGGACAGGTTCACTGTGTGGGTGATCTGGCTCTTTTTCTCTGCTCACTACTACACGTCACTTGGAGAAAGACATGTCCCTGCTTTAGTACCTTTTCTGTCTCCTTAGATAAGAAAGAAACAGATTTTTACACCTTATACAAAGTGCCTTTCTTTTACCTTTTTTTTTTCCAGTTTTCTTTTTGCACAAAACCTTTCTTTTTTGTGTGTGTGAATGGTAATGTCAGAAAGAAAATGACAAAATGGTCTCAAGTCTGATCAGCAACTGTCAGGTTTTAAATTCATTGTTTAACTGAGTCACCACGCCATTGATGTGATAAGTATAATTAATTTGTCTGATCACAGACTCTGGCTAGAACTGGGGATATATCTGCCACCCTATGATTCAAGATTCTCAATTTTAAAACATACTGATGCACTTTTGAATGTATCTGAATTGCATGTCTGGGCCTGAAATGCACAATGGATGCACAATGGAATTTTGCACACTTACAGAAAAATGTAAATGCCTCTGTCTCACCATCCCCAGTGTTCTAACATAGATTTTTCACTGATGAGTATCTCTGGTACTTCATCAAATACATTTTTCCTGGCTATTCAGTTCCAGCACAATAACGTGGCTGGGATATTGGACTAGGACTCAATTCCCAGGTCTTTAGTGTATATTACTGCCACTAAACAGATTGAATGTCCCCTTATGCACGTCCTTTAAGCTAAAAGTTCCCTCACCTATTTTTTCAAATACAGCTTGAGGGCTGGAGAGGTAGCTCAATGAGCTGAGAGCATACTTTACATGCTGGTGATCCGCAGCACCACATCGTCCTCTGAGCACCAGAGTGACACCTGAGCACAGAGCTAGGAGTAACCACTGAGCATTGCCAGGTGTGCATCTCCCCCCAAAAGAATAGTGGATTGACCTAAAATATTTCTGACACTTCCTCCCGTTCTGTCTTTGATTCCCTTGAGCTAAGTAAAACCCAAGTTTCCATGTCAGAAACCCACTGCAGCACTGGAAAACATAATCCATGTGACCTTACCTGCAAACAGTATGGCTGGAATGATGTTTAAGAGACAAACAGATATCTATTCCTCTAAGTCCGATCAATTTGATGTATTAGCCTTGCTTCTCCTCTTCTTAACTGTCCATACTTGGAGACTTTTTTATGCTCTTACTCCAAGCCCTGTATTTTTCCTAAGTGTTAAGATGTGCAGTTGCAAGTGTAGGAACTGCAAGAAAGTAACTTATTCACAAACCATTGTTATTTGGTTTAGCAAAAGACTCAGTCATATAAATGTTCCATTGGTCATGCAGATACCAAGACTCTAGCTGAGGATCAAAAGATGCTTCGTTTGGAGTTGTTCTAGCTTAATTCATTAATTATTTAATCAATTCAAAAGCCATTAGTAAATTCAAGTGGTTCTTGATGATTCAGTCTTGTAAGTTTTAAGCAGAAACTAAATATAGAATTTTTTTTGCTTGAGAGCCTATAATCTAAACAGAAATTCTATTTATAATGTTGGCCTAGACTTCTTTCCTGATTAGCAGGTATGTCATCTGCAAATCAAAGAGGAGTTTTCTCTGCAGACTTGTATTGCTCAGGATGGTGACTTTGGGTCTGAGACCTCTGTGGTATCTATTTTAAGGAAAGGAAAAAATAGAAAATAGAATATTTCCAGAGGTTAGGGCATCTCAGGATTCCACAAAATGCAAGAGCATCCCATTAAGCATGAATTTTATTGGCTATGGAGAATCAATAACCTATTTCGTGTTCTGAGTTTATGGCTAAGAGCTGTACATAATAACACCAACTGCCATTTTTTCACATCAATTTCTTAGATGTATGCTCTGACTTTGAGACGTTAAAGTGGTAATATATCGCCTGTTTCCAGGTTGTGGTCAATAACCCTTAGGCGCTTAGTTAACTTTCTTGCTGCTGGTTAAAAAGGAAAAACACTGAAGTCATAATATAAAAACTAACTTTTTATAGTTAGTAATATCATGTTTTCCCGGCACAAAATTCAAAAACTAAGGCTTTATGTAAATTTCAAAAATTCTGACTGGAGAATTCTTGTTGTGTTCTCTGAAATTAAAAAGAACTATGTAAAGATAATACCTCCAAAAGAGAATTTGTTTTGTAAAATTCCTGATAAAATACATTTGAATTCTTAAAAGTATCTACCTCCCCTTCTTGTCCTTATGTCCTTTTTTTCCAAGCTGCTTACTGTTTAGAAATGAAAGATATTACGTCTCATGCTTTGACAAATTTTTCAGTGGCATGTTTGATGTATTTGCCGTGTAATACTTTTGACTTCAACGTGACTTTTATATTTTTATTTTATATTCCATTGCTTTATGTGGTTCAAAAACTGTGGCACATTGAAATATATAATCCTCATAGTGTGAAACTCATTATATAAAATGAAAAGAATTATTTAATGACTTTCAATCTATTCATATGGATTCAATATTATTGTGTTTGTGTCCATGAAACAAACAAAACTGAAAAAAATTGTAGTCATATATTTCTGTTAGAACCCTGAATGTACTAATTTTTGTGTAATCTTTGTTTAGCAGTAGTGTAATATGCCATTGTATAGCTGAAGGGGTGTTGTGTGTTTAAAGTACAACGTAACAATCGTTTGTTCAAAAGTCAACTCCCAAGCTCTGCTTTATGTGAGTTCTGATACTTTTTGAGTGGTACTTGCCTCATGAGGCTTGCTTTTGCACTTAATCATTCATTTTAAACATATTAATAGTTTCATGTGGAAACCAAAGCGATCTCAAACCAGCCTGCTGAGTAATCTGTGTCTTCTGTAAAGCCATATTGAAGTGAAAACTATGTAATCGCATAAGGTTCCATATTTTCAAAGCTATCACTACCTCTGCTTTTTTCTCTTATGCCAACCCCAATTCTTCAAAGTAGGAAATGACAAGCAATTATTCTTATAAGTTGCTAGAGCTTTTGATTTTTTTACACAAGAATACATCTTCTAAGCCACCATTTTTGCACAGTTAATGCTAGGGTTTCTCAG